ATGATGACTACCATAATTCCCGTAGCTTGGGCCATATTATTTCAGCTGCAGGGCCTTGTCTATCAGCCGTATGCGTAGTATTCAGGTTAATGGAGATCCCGTGAGAAGTCCAGCGTAGCGTTATTTCAATGCCCACGACCTGGTTCCATGCATGTCCCATGCACCTGGCCTCCGAGCTGTGTGCAACCATGACATCTGTGCTCGCGGCGTTCCCGAAACTCGCAGCAAACCCAAAGAGCTTGCAATCTACCTTAGGGCTTTCGCGGAATTGAACTAGGGTTTTGTTTGAGTTTTGTAGGTTTCGTCAGGGCCTTCATCGTGTTTTTTAGCTATAATTACGTCTTGGAGGAAGGATCAGTTACATACTTTTCGGAGAGATGCCTTGTATTCACCACAGGGCTAGGGTTAAGCATCAATTCCACCTTTTTCGGGTCTGGGGGACTGCTCTCAACTAGATCCTAAACCTTACATATTAACCGTGACTGCAGTCTTCCCTTATCGTCCCTGAAGTGCCATTGCATAACATACTCAAGCCCCGTTCCGATTGTTAAGGGCTACGTCTGGGAAAACCCGCGGCAAAAGATTGGCAGCATGGTTGCTGCAGCGAGATCCAAATCCAGAGTCTTCGCGGCTTCGAGGGGACCCCCTAAAACCTGAACCCTAAACCCTAAAACCCAGCCTAAGCCCTATAAACCCTAAAGCCCAAACCCCAAGCCCTTCGTAGGTGCTCTTAAAGGCTTTCTGGCGGTTCCCCTGAGCCTTTGTTAAGGAGTTTACCTTATATACTTTTTCCTTTTTCTTTTAAATCATATAGTCTTTAAGGCCCCCTTAATCCTAAAACGTAAGGTACACATCCTGTACAACCAAACCGTATGTTCTTTCTTCAAGCGGTGTGGGGCTCGCTGGGCTTGATTCACAACCCTGAACCCCAAAGAACCCTAAACCGTAAACCCTTTAAAGTAGAAGCCCGAAAGTTGGAAGCCCCATAACCTCAATCCTTAAGAGTCATGCATAGGGAATCCTAGCACTATTTGACCTTAATCCGGTTTCCAACTTTATGTGGTTTATTATAAACCCTCATATATCCTGAGCCACAGTAGGATCGCTCCGAGAAGTTAGGGTTTAGGGTTTAGGGTTTAGGGTTGAGAATCCAGGTTTTGCCGAGGAACAGAGTTCCCCTACTTGGGTTTCGGGAGGGTTCAGGGCTTCAGGGATTTCCGGTTTGAGGGTTAACTTAGAGGTACTTAGAAATAATTTTTAATTTTTGGTTATTATAATACCTAAGAAACAGCTAATTATACTTTTTTGCTAGGGTTCGAAGTTCCGTATAGTTAAGGATGTACATAGAATACTCTTCCGTAGGGTTCCTTACTAATCCCTTCCCCATTGATTACAAACACCCCTAATAAAGACACTTTGGGGTCAATCCTCCCGGGAAGAGAATATTTATATAGAACATAGTATCACCAAACCCTCTTCTAGCTAGTTATTCGGGTTGCGGCGCAGGGGTGTGACTGGCATTGATGGTTTAGGGTTTAGGACCCCCGGACGGAAACTGTTGTATTTGTTCGGATGTTGAAAGAATTTAGCGGCCGAGATCGTTGGGAAAGCCCTAAACCCTATAGACCCACTAAACCCTAAACCCTATAAGCCTTAAACGCGAAGCCCTAAACCCTATGAATAGACCCTAAACGCGAAGCCTTAAACCCTATAAACCTTAAATGCGAAGCCCTAAACACTATAAACCCTAAACCTATCACTGGTTCAAATTTGGCAGTGCTTATGTGATGGTCTATGTGGGCTTCGAGTCTCACGAGCCGGGTTCGGGCCTATGGGTTTAGGGTTTAGGGTTTGGGGCTATAGGGTTTATGGGACCCTAAACCCTAAACCCTAAACCCTAAACCCTAAACCCTAAACCTTAACTTTCCAAACCCTAGATTGTTGTAGGTTCTGATTGTAAACCCTACCATGGAATTTACAGGGACCCTACAACAAGTATGTTCTTGTAGGTTAGGTGGGGTTTAGCATCTCGGATGTAGAGCTCAGTGAGTTCAGGGTTTAGAATGCACAAGTCAGGGTTTAGGGTTCAGGATGCAGGGTTCAGGGTTCAGGATTTGCGATTCAGGGCTTAGGGTTTGCAAATAAGGGTTTGGTGTTTGGAGAGTCAGTTACAGCAGTATGCTTGGAGGGTCATGAGGAAATCATAAGTATAGTTGCCTTATGTATAGCCCTAGTTACTAAGTCCCATGACCCTTTGAGGATAGCATGCCTGGCTCCTCCTGAGCAAAAACTCCTACGGTTGATGATATAAATCCTGCATTACCTGAATGACCCGAAACTATGGGAATTATGGTAGTTTCCTTAGTATGGGTAATGCAGGATTTACATCATCAACCGTAGGGCCGTGAACGGCACTCCGGCGTGCAAGTTGCAGTTTAGGGCTTACAGACTTGGGAGTGTCGGGGTTTAGGGTTTAGGGTTTAGGGTTTAGGGTTTAGGGTTCGCCAGCGCAGCTGGCGCCCTGGGCAACCCTCATGGTTTAAACAAGGGGCTCCGGCCGATTCCTCTAATGCGTTCGTTGACGCGAACCTTGCCCGCATTCGTTCGGGCGGACCCACGACTGGGCGCCGGACGGATGGACCAGGTCAGGAGGTACGGACGGACGCACGCGTCCGCAAATGCAGCGACACGATAGGAAAACAAAAACGACAATTCCCGAAACAAATTTGATTTTATGATTTCGTTTAATTAGAAGCCAATCCCGATACCCAAATCACCACAACTCCAACGTCGAGACCGCAAAGCCCAAACTTAAAGCTGCCAAACACTTGATTGAACGTGGACCGACGGGCGGACGGATGAACGGAAAATCCCAGGAACTGCCGGAAAGATGCATAGACGAATAGAGGAATCTCAGCTGCGTTCGTTCGGGAAAACGAACGAATGGGCGACGGACGGACGGACGGACCATCTGGACGCGAGGGACGGACGGACGCACGAGCACGCAAACGTAGCGACGCGATAAGAAAACAAAAACGACTTTAAATCCGAGCGCCGAAGGTCCAAAATCCAGCTCCAAATCCAGGCCCGAAACCCCAAATCCAGGCCAGCGGAAAATCCAGGCCCCAAACCCCAAATCCAGGCCCAGCCCCAAATCCAGGCCCCAAATCCAGGCCCAAACCCAAATCCAGGCCCAGACCCAAATCCAGGCCCCAAATCCAGGCCCAAACCCAAATCCAGGCCTGGCCCCAAATCCAGGCCCCAGGCCCAGCCCCAATTTAGGGTTTATTTAGGGTTCGCCAGCGCAGCTGGCGCCCTGGGCAACCCTCATGGTTTAAACAAGGGGCTCCGGCCCATGGCTTTAAAGCGTTCGTTGCCGCAAATCTTGCCGGCTTCCGCTCGGATGGACGGACGGATGGACGCACATGCGGACGCACCGACGGACGGGTGTCGGGACGACGGACCCGAACGGCACGGACCGGGCGTGGCCGGACGGATGGATGTGGACGCGCGGACGGAGACGGACGGACGGACGGACGGACGCACGGACCGCGATAAGAAAACAAAAACGATAATTCCAGAAACAGATTTGTTTTTGTGATTTCGTTCAACTACAAGGCAAACGCGATACCCAAATCACCAAAAGCCCAAAGTCGAAACCGCAAACGCCAAATTGAAAGCCGCCAAACGCTTGATTTAACGCGTGGACAGACGGATGGATGAACGGACAATCACAGGAACGGCCGGAAGGGACGGACGTACGGACGGACGGACACACACGGACAGACGGACGCGGACGGACGGACACGGGCGGACGGACAGGGACGGACGGACATGGGCGGACGGACGGACGGACAGGGACAGACGGAGGACGCGGACGGACGGACGAGGACGGACGAGGACGGACGAGGACGGACGGACAAGGACGGAACGGAGGGAAGGGAGCGAACGGAAGGGACGGGGAGGGGGACGGAAGGGGACGGACGGACGGACGGACGGAATTGGACGGACGTACAGAAGGGACGGGGACGGACGGACAGACGGACGGGGAAGGATTCACGGACGGGGACGGATGGACGGGGACGGACGCACAGACGGACGGATGGACGGGGACGGACGGACGTACGGACGGGACGGACGGAAGGACGGAAGGACAGACGGACGGACGGGGT